AAACTCTGATCTTGAGTTGTCTTTGCAAAACAACCCTGCTGTGTTTATGACCTGGTCCAGATGAAGAGGTTTTTTTCCCCCCCTTTTCAAAAAAAGGTATCACATCCTTCTGTTAGATGTGTTGTTAGCAACAGTTGCTAGGGAGAGCTGGGTTCAGTTACAGGCACACTGATGCCGGCTCTAATAATACTTCTCCCTGCATAGCTCAGATGCAGACACCTCTTGGCTAAACAGGGCACACGCATTTCAACAGAGGAGGGCTTGAACTTGCACTATCCAAGCAGATCCAGGCAAAAGAGCCGTCTCTGAACTCAAGAGGAAGGCAGAGGGTGGTGAGCAGGCAGTACTGGGTGGAGGGGGCTCAGGTCTTTGATTTTGATTCCTGTCATTCCTAAGGTCCCATAAAAAGAGGCACACTCATTCCTCCTTCCCCATGAAACCGGAGCCCTCATCCTCTCTGGGATTACACCACAATTCCCTGACGAGCACCATGGGAGCTTTCTGGTTGTTTCGGCCCAGGGCAGCCCACAGTCTCCAAGAGGGGGAAGCGATCAATGTGTAGAAGCTGGCTAGCTTGGTGCAGGAAGGACCTGGGAGCCTCATGGGCAGGGCAGAGCCACAGAGGTGGCTGCTGCCAGCTTTATTGGGTAGCCTCGTCAGCACTAGGGGTGAGAGTGAGGCCCTTCTCCTAAAACACATAATGGCCATGCCAACGAAAGGCAGAGGTCAAGAAAAGGGAGACAGGAAGTTTCAAGCAGGGAACGGAGGGACCCAGTGGGAGAGGAGGAAAGGGTCTCTCCTCTTTCCAGCGTGGGGAGTCTCAGGATGTCAAGGAATAGTGTGAGCAAGGGCCCCTGAGATAGTAGAGCCCAGTTCCTGCACAGAAGGGAAGATGAGGTTGGAAAATGATAGAACAAGTATTCTATCAACTGCTAAGCTTTCCCACCAACCCAGTCTATGTCCTCCTTGTGGCCCTGCAAAGAGCCCAGCACCTAAGAAGTAGGTTTTAGCTGGTTCATAGTTGCTTGGTAAGTGACAATGGTGGGACAGTCCTGGTGCCTCTGGGCTTTCTTCCTGGCCGTGATGAGTTCTTTATGCCATGATGTCCAGGTATATGCCTGGAGAGCCTCATTCAATTGGTCTGGGGAGGACCCCAGGGTGAAGCCACAGCTCTCCATGTGATCCCAGACAATGGCCGAGAGTCTCTGTTCTATAGGACACCTGGGGTCTGAAATGTAGGATTCTCAGGCTGGATCCCCGCGCTGGACCAGCACAATGGTAAGGGTCTGTGCCTTGTTTGCCCAGCCATGAAAGTGACCCCACTCTTACAAACTACCCAATGCTTTGCTTCCAAAAAGTGTGGCACCTGGACCAGCCTGGCAACGTCACTGGAAGCTAGGCAGGAACATAGGCGAAGACTCTAGTGAAGATTCTAGACTTGGCACATAAAAGACAGTTAAGAAATGTCCACTTAATAAACATAATTTTACTTAGGAGCAAACTACTAAGAAAGTGACCACATCTAAGGCAAATACTGGAGCTGGTTTAGATATAAGAACTGAGTAATTTTCATCTACAAGAGGCCTATGGGACTCACGAAGGAAATAAGAGTTTTAGGTTTCTTGAGAGGGTGATGAAGGGAGTCTATCTGGGAAGGACCTATGACTATCTTCCACATCTCATTTCCCACTTTGTGGGCACGGAAGCCCAACCTGGCAGGAATCTTGGGCGTCTGCTGTAAGAGTATTTACTACATGAAAGGCTGGCCCCCTCCCTGCCATGTTGCTGACTCCTCATGCCAAAGCCCAGACTGGAAGAACACTCAGCCAGGGAAGGCCACATCCAGAAACAGCTGCAGGGAGGGGTGTGCACAGGGCACCTCACACCTGGCCCCTTTGCAGGCCATGTCACTAAGCGGGCCTCAGAGCCTGTACGGCAGCCGTGTCAGACAGCAGGAGGGCCGGCTCAGAGCCTGCCAGATTGAACGTGGGCTTGGCCAGGAGTCCAGAGTCAAGTGGGACTGAGTGGACAGAGATCAGGAGCTCCAGGGAGAGAGAAGGGAGGGGAGGGCTCTGTGGGCAGTGAGGACAGACGCCCTCAGAGGTGTAAAGAGGGAAAGTGGATCGAGTCCCCAGTGTCCTTTTAGATTTCCCGCGTTGGGTGGCAAGTGGCCCATGGATTACACTTCTCAGAAAGGCCTGCTCTAACTGCCACTTCCTTGGATGCAGGGAGGAACAGAGGCCCAAGCAGGTTAGCAGGCTTCCAGGTACTCAGGCACCTCACCTGGCACAGCTAAGATTTTCCTCATAGCCCAAAGGGCTTTGGCCAATCACCAGGGCCCATGTGTCAAGGCCAACCCTCTGGTTCCACCTTTCAGAGGGCTCCCACATTGGCTCACAGGAAGCGGGTGATGGGGGTGGCCTACAGAAGAATTCAAATGCTACAGTCAGGCACATGGCCTGCTCCCTTTACTGTGGGTCACCAGGAGGGTGCACCCTTGGAGCTTACAATGTGAGCCTTGTTTGCCTCCTGGGGTTCCGTTCTTGACTGGGAGAAGAGAGAGGGAAGTTTCTGGTGCCTTCCTCTTACAGTAGCCATTCCTCCATGACCATGGCTTGCCAGCACTGAGCAGCCAGCCAGACATAGGGCCGCGGCCAGCAGAGGTGGTGCCCACCCATCAGAGCCTGGGGAAGTAGGCACTTGTCTGTCACTATGGGCTCCTGTGGTCACAAGATGAAGCTCCTGTCTTTCCTGTATACATTTAAACCCTCAGCTCCAAGGTTGTTGGTGGGTGTCCTTGGACACCCAATCAGAGCTAGTCATGTGACAGAACAGGGAGACAGGTGTTGGGGCAGAGAAGGGTAGAATGATGCAGGAAGACAGAGAGGGAGACATGGGCAGATTTCCCAGGGGAGTGGTGTCTGAGATGGCCCTGGCAAAGAAGATAAGTGAATCTGAAAGGAAATTCTAGACCAGATGGGGGGGTTTGTCCACTGGGGTGCAGTTGGAGGCTCAGCCTGGCTACAGGATGGTGGTGAGGAGCAGGGGACAGGGTGTGAGTGCCCTGGACAGTGTGAGGGAGGGGCAGTTTGCGAGGACAGGGGACCCGAGGACTGCTTCATTCAGGGCCAGGTCTTGGAGCAATAGGAAAGGAGAACAGCTCACGTGGGGTCACTTGTATCCACTTCCGAGGCCCTGACATGTTCAGCAGCGTTTCCCTGGGGGCTTGCAGAGGTCCTGACTGCTGGTGCCTGGGCCAGGTCTAGCCTCTGGCTTTCCAGCATTTGGTTCAGTGTTTGCCCACCCCAGTGTCTGTCCAGCTATGCTCAGCACACTCACTTCATTGGGCTGTTACCTAGGGCACACGATAGAATTTCACTAACTTAAATTGCTCCTGCCACAGGTTCTAAAAGAAATAATCCATCTTGGGGTAGCCCCTGAAGCTGGTTATCTCTCCTGGGTGCCACAAGGCCTGTGTGCCTGTCTGCTATGGGGCTGCATGGATTTCCTACAGTTAGCAGTCATGGTCTAGAACTTGTGTTCCATTCTGGCCCTTCTCTGAAAAAAAAAAAAAAACAAACAAATCCCCAAACCGAGTCTGAGGCTAATCTTGTCCCTGACGCCCTGTGCCTAGTGATGCATGGCAGACAGGCTTCTCCTGCCTGTTTGTCACCCTCTCTACTCTCCCAGGACATTCCGGCCTGCGAGGAACATGCCGATGTGCAAATCCCTCAGGTAATGCGGGAATTCATCACCAGGGGAGCATGGGCGATCCAGGAATGGCAACCTGATCACAGCTTGAAGCTGGAGAGAAGCTTGAGGCTGGCCAGGGAGGCTCAGGTTGCAGACAGCAAGACACACACAGAAGAGGACAGGCATGGCCCAGTGCGCCCCAGGCAGGTGGGCCCCTCTGCTTTTAGGGACAACACTGTGAACCATGAACCAGGTGGCCATACGCCCTGTGTTCATCTGCCGCCCATGTGTAATTATGAGGGGAGCCCCTTTGACTCTCAGAAGTGGCACTTCTTGGACAATCTGGCATATGGTCACCCTACTCACCTGTTTATTGCAGGTGGTCTCTTTAGCTCTGTCACCCTACTTTTCTCACTCGCAGGGCATTGGTTCACCAGCTAGGCCTGATGACACAATCTGTATCTCAACTGGTCTGTTGTATAAAATAATAGGAAAGACATTTTCCCCATCTAGAGTCTCTGAAAATGGTATTCTGGCTGGTATGGCTGCCATGCCATCCTCCCCTGCCAGATCTGAGGTCACCAGTCAACTGTCACCATATGTGACAGGAACTGATGTAACGGACTCAGTCAGAGTGCTCATTCAACACTTATTACACACTGGCCTGTGAGGCTGTGGCTAGACACTGGTCTCTGGTAGACAGCAACAAAAGGACTGGGGAGCAGCTCTCTGGAAGGAAAGGGACATTGAGAGGGAAGGTAACCAGGCATCAAGGAAATCTTGGATGGCCACACTTTCCTTCTACGTAGGATTTCAGTGTATCAGCAGACAGTCTTTGTCCTGAACCATAAGGTTTTGCTATCCCTGCTATACCAAGTGTAGCACCATCAAGCTCTTTGGGACTAGCCCTAGGAAGGAGGAGGAGGAAGAGGAGAACAGTGGGGAGGGAAGAAGAGGGGGGAAGAGACAGGTCCACAGCGAGTTCATGACAGCTCGGACATGTAGAGGTCAAAGCACAGGGTCAATCACCAGTCTCTTATCATGAAAATAGAAAGGGAGAAAGGCCGGTTGAACAAATCACACCTATAAAATTATATTGGTCCTAGTAACCATGGAGCACTCACACAAACACACACAAATCCAGCCACGCATCTCTCACCCCTCAGTGCCTTCTTATTTTCTATAATTAATCGGGCAAGGAACTTGGGACAAGTTCAACCGCTGTCAGAACTCGCAGCCCTCTCTCTAGCAATAACCCTTGTTGGAGGGGCAGGGGAGTGGAGCAGCAGCTGCTGGTGTCTGGTTACCTGGAGCATGTTGAGGAGCAAGCTCCGGAACTTGGTCCCCTCGACCATGAAGAGTGCCATCTTGTCGCAGAGCTTGGCGGCCGTGAAGGCAAAGCTGCGGTCTGACACCGCCTTCTGGTAGATGGTCCGCACGATCTCTCCCAGCATCTCCTCGGAGTTTGTGGAGTTCTGGGCCTCCTCCATGAAGGAGGTGAGCTTGGCGTCCACATCGCTGCTCTTGTTCCTCATGCTGTTCAGGATCTCCATCAACTTGTCCATCTTGTTTGGCTGAGGACTGCTTGTCTCTATTGTTACTTCCTCCTGGGGGTATGGGAGACAAACAAAAACACACTTGAGTGAGGAAGCTGAGGATTGGGATGGCCTGAAGGAAGACGGGAGAACCCAGAGAGAAGGGTGTGAGGGAATGCAACTCCACCCAGAGACCCTCATGCTGTGCTGCTCTTTGTTGACTTTTCCCTCAGCTGCTGTGATGCCCTGGGTTGACATTGCTTGTGAGTTCTAGCTTCTACCCAGGATTCTCACATACATAGTTTCTCCCCTCTTCATCTATCAGATCCCTTAATCTAGAAATGATTTGATTGAAATTATCAAAGATGAGGTAAGATAATACATAGAACACTGGGTCAAAGAGAAAATGATGTGGGGAAGACCAGACCAGGGTGAGTAGGATCTGGAATATCTGTAGTGATCCTGGGAGTGGCCTGGGTGTAGCCACCAGGCGTCCTTTCTAAATGCCACAGACAGCCATGTTCCTGGGTGAATGGCCCCATGTGGACTTGGACCTGGCTTAGCATCCCGTGTAACTGCTCTGGCTATCCCTCCACACACAAATACTGTACATTAAGGAATTTTCCAATGTTCTATTCAAATGGCTGGTGCTTCTAGCAGGAAAATAAAAAAAACAAAACAAAGTGAAAACACCACCTTGATTATTCCCTTATGGGAGTGCCCAGTAACTGGGGTAACATCACTGCCTGGAGAGGCAGAAAGTGGCATGAGGTTATCCCAAACTATGTGCACCTAAACAGAATAGACCCATGGCCCAAGAACACAGTGGCCCTCTCTGCGGGGGTGTGGGTGGGACACAGCTGAGGAGTGGGGCTGGGTGACACGGTGAGACACCTTGTTGGCTCTCTGTTCTTGACTTGGGAGCTCTGGGCTGGTGGTGATGTGAGGTTCTACATCCAGCTTTCCTGGGCCAAGCACACTGGGAAGGTGGTTCCTTCTCGGAGCCACCATTCCCTTGAGGGTGACGGTGACGCTGGAAGAACCCTGGGGCTTTCCTTGAGCCTTACCATGTAGTGTGGCACACAAGGGTGGGAGCCTAAGTGATCTCTTTCTTTTCTTGTCCCCTTTAGGTCATCTACCTCTTTAGTGAAACTTTGTCTGACTCCTTGAGCAGGGCCAATAGGACTTAGCTCTTGTCCCACAGCATCTAATGTAATCACATCTAATTTTCCTGGGTTTCCAAGGCCTCTTGGGGGGCAGGAACAGAAGATAAGGAGCCAGTATGTGCTGGAGGGGTTCAAGTACAGCTGCTGTGGGCTTGGCCTGTGGTGCCCCAGTGACACCATGACAATGATGAGCTGGGTCCACACAGCCACAGAAGCATTGCTTCTCATTAGAGAGTAAGCCCTGTCCCAAGTCATGAGTTCTTTCGAAGTCCTCCCATCCAAGAGCCTACCTCTCAGCTGTCTTCGAGGTTGCAAGAGAACAAGGAAAAGTCAATTACCGGTACCTTTTCTTTCAGTCTTCGCCTCAGCCTGTCTTTGGAAGACTGGAGCAGGGTGATTTTGGGCCGCTCCCCGTGGCGCTCAGGAAGAACACTGTCTTTATGTTTGGTCTCAGTCTCTGGCCCCCCTGGCGGCTGTGGGGTTGGCCTCTCAGAAGCTGCTGGGGCCAGAGGGTCAGGGCTGCAGGTGGGCTCGAGGCCACTGTGTCCGGGGTCCCCTGGGCTATCTTCAAGTTTGGGGTTCTCAATGCTCGCAGTCTCTTTGGTGTTACGGTGGCTGCCTGCTTCTCCCTTGTCTCCTGGTGGGTGCTTCATGTTACCATGGTGCCAGCGTCTGTTCTGGCTGTAGCCATGGTGTGTGGGCCTCCCTGAGGGGTGGGGCCCTGAGCCCCCCTGGTAGGATTTCTGGTGGTCCCTGTTGTGTTTGGCACTGCCCGGTTGATGGTCACCATGCTGCTGGGGCTTATTCCCTCCTGGAGGTCTCTGCTGCCGTCTGCAAAGGACAGTGGAGAGGAAGAGAGGAGAGATTATATAGTGAACTGATACGGTGCTATACAACCTCATCCGAACACTGGAGCAGGAGGTCATTCTTTCACCGTTTATCCAGACCCTCCCATGAGCCATCGGAGAGGATGTGAGTCAAGTTTTCTCTAAAAGGCAGCATTGCACCCATGTTAAACGATGTGCCAACAGATGTAGTATGGGACAGACACCTGAAAGGACCAACAGACGAGGTGGTGAACCCTCCTGGCTCTGCCCCCAGCTATGTCTCCTGAAGCAGCATTATCTGATAATATTCATGTGTTGCTCTGGAGCCAACTGAGATTTTAAAGACAGGGATGAGTTAAGATGAGGGTACGAGCCCCCAGGGTGAGCCCTTAGTCCAAGCTGACATGGGCCCTTATTATGAGAAGCAATTTGTACACACTCAAAGACATTAGGGATGCCACATGTACAGAGGCATCAGTTGTCGTCTGCAAGCCAAGAAGAGAGGGCGTAGGAAAATGCAACTGTTGATACCTTTGAATAGTGAGGGAAAAGGACTGTGTCTTAGATAGCCTTTGGTGATCCTGTGTTTTGGCAGCCCAGGAATATGAATGTGAAGTGATATTTTAAATGTGGCTTTAGGCAGAGGGAGGCCCCTAAATGCAAGACTATTTATTTATTTACTTATTTATTTGTCAATAGCCCAGAAAGGAACCTAGGAAATCCCCTGGCAGATAATATTTGATCCTTACAAATCCTTGTTATTTTGATTTAGAATTTTGGGGTGCCTCATGGCTGTCGTCTAAGAAACGTTCCCGGAGGACAAGCTCTTTCCCAGATTGCCGTGAAAAAGTGTCTTGCTTCCCATTCACCATTCTCTCTCTCTGCCCAGCAGCTACCCCTGAAGTGGGGAAAGAAACATGGCCAACAACTTCTATCCACTTGAAGGATGATGTCATTTCTACATGGCTGGCCATCAAGGGCTCTAGAGAGACGTCACCGAGGTCTTGCTGTTGTTCACCTGGAGATGTGGGGTGCTCTGGAGATGTGGGGTGCCCTGAAATGCAGCTCTGATGGAAAAGCACTGGCTAAGAGAATGCGGGACTACAGTCGATGTCCCCAGACTCATACACACTGGGTGCTGGTGTCCCATGTGCAAGGAGAGCCATCCACAGGCTGGAGGGGAAGCTAAGTAGCCCATCCTCAAGTGTCCCCTCTTGGCTGGGCAGTCAAGCTACTGTGTGCTGGCTTGTTTTCTGCCAGCTTGACACAAGCCAGAGTCATCCGAAAGGAGTAAACCTCAATTGAGTAAATGCCTCCATAAGTTCCAGCTGTAAGATATTTTCTTAATTGTTGGTTGATGGGGGAGGGCCCTTCCCATGCTGGGTGGGGCCATCCCTGGGCTGGTGGTCCTGGGTTCTCTAAGAAAGCAGGCTGAGCAAGCCATGAGGAACAAGCCAGTAAGCAGCTCCCCTCTGTGGCCTCTGCATCAGCTCCTGCTTCCAGGTTCCTGCCCTGCTTGAGTTCCTGTCCTGACTTCCCTCAGTGATGAACAGTGATATGGGAGTGTAAGCCAAATGAACCCTTTCCTCTTCAACTTGCTTTTTGTCATGGTGTTTCATCACAGCAACAGACATACTGGGTTCAAAAGGAGGGCTTGATATGGAGCTTAGTCGGTAGCTCAGCTTTGCCTTGGGAAAGTGAGCAAGAACACAGGTAGCACTGGGGGAGGGGGAATGAAGTCTTTAGTTTGTTATCTTCTCAGAGCAAGTGACTGCTGGGTCTGTCGTTTGTGTGCATGTGGACTATGAGCCTTACACACACACACACACACACACACACACACACACACACACACACACAGAGAGAGAGAGAGACTGTGATACTGGGGATGGAACCTAAACACACACACACACACAAACACACACACACAAACATACACACACACACACAAACACACACACACATACACACGCTAGGCAAGTAATGAGTCACTGAACTGAACCCTCAGCCTCCTTTTTTCTAGATAAGCCCATTGAGGCTTCCAAAGATGCATTCATCATGGGACCCAGAAGGCCACTTCCAGTCTGTCCCTCATTTATTCTGAGGTCCAGTTTCCCAGGAGCACAGGGCTGGATTCCCAGAGATTTCTGTGGAAACAACCACAGCGGGCCCATGTTCTTCGACTGGCAAGGAGCCCTAAGGGCCATTGGCATCATGGACAGACAGGCTTGGGCCCTGTTCCCCAACCATGGTGGCCCAGGCTTCCCTGCTCAGGCCATTCACAAATATTTGTTAGTGGTAGCTGGGTGAGCTGGCCAAAGCCAGCATGCTCTCTTCTGTGTTTGCTGGTGCTAGGTTTCATTGATACCTTTGTCAGGGGCCAGCTGGCTGCTCCCCACCAGACCTGTGGGTTTGGGTTTGGCTGGGACAGGGTAGTTGCTTCTACTCTTAAAAGTGGGCAAGCATGAAGGCTGAATCTTATGTCAGACATGCGTACATGTGGTCTAGTTTGGGGGGTATTGTGCATACACCCACACATTCACCACAAAGGCCAAATACCTTTTCATTGTTTGACCTGACTCTCATTCTCAGGTGAGGGGATATTAGGGACAAGAACAAGGTTCCACTTGAGCCCCTGGAAGCACCTGCTGTTATGACAAGGGAAAAAAATACAGTCTTGGGATGGAAATGGTCAGTTTATGCTTTTTGGTTTATTCTAAAACTCTCTTTTAAGAAGAAAGTTCTCAGAATACACCACAGATGCATTTAGGAAGGTGAATTTGTACAGAGAATAACTTCGAATTTTGCTTTTAAAAATGGTTTTAACATCAGGCCAAATGGAGACAAATGTTTCCCTGTTCCTTTTTTTTTTTTTTTAAATTTCATAATAGCTCCCAACCAGATAGCCCAAGGCTCACTTGCTTATTATAGTTCTCTCCATGTGGGACCCTTTACCACATAATTTGTAGGTCTGCTTAAGCATTCTGAAAGTGAAATTCCTGGGCAAGTGACTTGGAAACTCCACAGGAACTCGGGTTTCTTGTCTTCAGGAGAAGCGATGCCTGCTCATCACAGCACGGCACCTCCACCTCTGCCTCCCTCCACAGGACCTGCTCCTTGCACCAGCTGCCTTGCTCCCTGTCCAAGACCGAGATGGAATTGAGGGGCTCCCTGTCGGAGGCATTTCCCTGCAGTACGGGGGCTGCTTTGCCTACCGTTGGTACATGAGGCCCAGAAACAAAGGACCAACTGCTATTCCAGACTCCATTTGCAGGACGCTAGGAACACAGTACTGTTTATTCCTCCCTGAGGGCTAGTGGGCATTGGAACACCCTTGTCACCCTCACACAATGCTGGAGATTTCCCCCCATATTTTGTGGCTTTCTTTTTTACTCAGGGTTGGAAAGAAGCAGTTCAAAACTGAAGTTTCTGCCAGTCAGGGAAGATGCTCCTCTATGAAGTGTGACAGTTCACTGTGTCGGACACCAGATGGCTACCTGGCCAGCAGATGGGACACGGTGCTGGCACTGAGCGCCACACGACAAGAGAAAACACTCGCCCTCAATTGTGGGTGGCCACCATCACTTCCTTATTTAAACTGGGTTAATCCAAGTTGCCTCTGGGCTCACTGCAGTACCCTCTGAGGACCGCGTGTGAGTGAGCGGCGGAGGCGCCCAGTGTCCCTGGGCACCTTCTCAGCACTGCCCCAGTTTCATCCAGAGTTAAGACAGCCCAAATTCTGTTCTGATGTCCACCATGGCCACTGTCTTCTCCTGCCCACCTTACCCTGTCTCTCCTACCAGCCTGTTCTGTTACTGCACGCTGGAACAACAGCTCTCGGTGTCCTGGGGTTTGGTGGATCACAGTGGGAACTTCGGTGCCTACACCAGTGCTTAGAGACACTAGCCTACCGTTTACAGAAACTAGCTATGACTAGAGATATGAGATGAAGGCAAACTGGCAGAGAAGGGCTTGGCCTACTGTTGGGGCTTAAGGCAGGCCAGCATGGAATGTGCAGAAGCTAGAGCAAAGAGAAAATGACGGCCCTCCATCAGGAATTTTTGAGATGATGACATCATAGCCTTGCATTGGGTCAAGCACAGGCCCTTCTGAGCACATGGTCCTGTGTAGTATGCAGGCTGGACACCCTGCAGCCAGTCCTGCTTGGAGGGCTCCCACAGGTGACAGAGAACTGGAGACTTCAGGGGAACGGAGTCACAGTATACATGTGATGCATGTGTAGCATGCCAGGCACAGCTTCTGCTTACCCTCAGGGTAGGCAGGGCAGCAGTAACATCAGCAGGGCACAGGGACAGTGTCTTGTCCTAGTTTGCAAGTGGCCTGCAGAACTTGGGTTAGAACTTGGTGGTCCGGCCCTTCCACATACAGTCTTGACCACTATGCTTTCCTGGCCCAATGTTCAAGTTTGTTCCAGGGTTCTGAAGCCCAGGCTAGCTGGCAAATTTCTGCTGAGTCCCTATAACCATTTTTCAGAAGATGCTGGCCAAAGTCACCGGAGGTGGGGGTGTATGGGTCATCTGGAGACGGTGGATTGTAGAGGGCTAGACGGGCAGAAGTAAAGGCTTAGGCATCAAGGGGAGGGGCAGGAGGCGAGGACCTGTGGGAAGGAAAGCTGTGGGGAAAACAGTCTTCCAGCCCGGGCTCCACTGTGTCTGGGGCAAACCACAGGAGCCACGCATGGCCTTGGGTTCCAATTGCACTGGGAAGGATCCTTTGCCCATCTTGTCTGCGGTGCTTGTGGCTAGAGCCTGGGGGACAGGGCTAGGGCCCAGTTTCAGGGTGGCCCGTTGGCTTCAGTTGCTGCCCCTTGAGGGAGGGGGGACAGAGTTGTGGGCTCTATCTCTGGCAGGGTGGAGGCTAAAGGAAGTGGCTTTCCTGGGGAAACTTGGTGGCTCACGAGTCCCTGTTCCTCATCTCACTCTGGTTGGAAGCCAGGGTTCTTGGGCCCCTTACTCATCAATGATTTGCTAAGTGGCTTTGGCA